TGACACCAAATTCCGGAGAGAAATCCTAAAAATCCCTCCAAGTCCCTGAACTCTGAGCAACAATGTATCTGATTTGTGTCACTCGGCTGGAGATCCTCCAATCATCTCTGACACTGTCCTTCCTCCTGGAGGGTGACTACGTCTGTTCCCCATGGTCCCTGTGTGTGTTGTAGAGTGAGGAGCTGGGAGCAGTGACTACTTTACACCACACACACGGACCATGGGGAACAGACGTAGTCACCCTCCAGGAGGAAGGACAGTGTCAGAGATGATTGGAGGATCTCCAGCCGAGTGACACAAATCAGATACATTGTTGCTCAGAGTTCAGGGACTTGGAGGGATTTTTAGGATTTCTCTCCGGAATTTGGTGTCATTGTAATAAGATAAATAGAGAGATTTGTATATTTAATATATGAATAAAAAGATAGAAATTAGATACATATGGGTGGGTAGATTGACAGAGAAAGAGAGAGATAGATAATAGATAGATAGATAGATAGATAGATAGATAGATAGATAGATAGATAGATAGATAGATAGATAGATAGATAGATAATAGATAGATAGATAATAGATAGATAGATAGATAGATAATAGAGAGAGAGATAAAAGGTGGCAGTTGGGTCACTTACGGTTACATTTTTTACGTGTTTTCTCAGTAAAACTACAAAAAGAAACGTTTGACTATAACCGCCATCAGCCCCCCAATCCCCCAATATCTGTTATTGTATTCTATTACCCCCGGAATATTCTGTCCTCCTCCCCGTGTGCGGCCAGACCTCCAATCTCATGACTTGTGGTGTTTTCTGTATTATCTGCACTCCCGGTACTGACCGCCGGCCGATGATGAGGATTATACATTAGTATTATTATCAGACTGGTGCGATTTGTTTCGTTCCAAATCAAAATTCGGACATTTGGACAAATCTGAATTTAATAACAAAAATAATACTGAACGGGTCATGTGACTTTTCCGGTGTTTTTCGGTTTAATGCCTCCGGATGGGTGTGAACGGGAATTTTTCGTTATGACAACATGGGAGCCGTATACATATAATACTAAAGCTGAGGCTCCTCCCAGACCCCAATGGCATTTGGGATCCGAATTTCAGAATCCCGAAATAACGAAAACATCCGAACCAAATTTCTCCGCAGCGTCCCGTCCCGTGTAATGCTGAGGGGGGGAGGGGGAGTAGTACTGCGCTGGCAGAACGCCGTGTGCCCTCACTAAGGGTTAAAGATCTCAAGGATCAGGTGATACATTGTATGTTAATTAAGGGAAACTGACTCCGCCCACTTTCACCTTTAGTGACACATTGTATGTTAACAAGAATAAACTGTCTCCGCCCCCTCAGTGTCCCGCCCACTTTTACCTTTAGTGATACATTGTATGTTCATGAGAGGAAGCTGACTCCGACCTCTCGGAATCACCGAGTGATTGATTACATTGATGCCTCCAGTCGTCCCTTTTAACGCTCCGACCGCAGAGAGCCGAGGAGTTGGGTTTCCGCTCCCTCGGGGGCCCCCCTTGTGATTGGCCCCAAAGTGTGAGTCAAGGCTTTGTGTGTGAGGTCTGCCCGTGATCGACCCGAGGACAACACCTGTGAATCCGGTCCTGTGCACATTCACGAGGGGTGAACCCCGGGCAAGACACGCATTCATCAATATCTTATCAATACCTGAATGTGAGCCGGTATCAGCCTCTTGTACAGCAGGGCCGGAGTGTGAGAAGCAGCACAAGGAGCCAATCAGATCATGTATCAGTAAGATGCATGCTGCCGGAAGGAGAGAGCAGAGTGACAGTTACGTGAGCTCATCACTGCGCTGCTTCTCCTGTCACTGTCCAGTCGGGGGACCAGGACGGCCTGGGCTCAGAGGAAGTGGGTTGAGCAATGCTAGCCGTCAAAGGGACGGGTCAGCCAGGTGTTTTCCGCATGCGCATGTGTGGACAAGCTACATGCCGGCAGGAGGAGAGAGCAGAGCGTCGGTTCATCCGTCTGCAGGGCCCAGAAAATGTCGTAAATCTCTCTGCAACGCGCCAATCCAATTTACCTAAAAAATAGTGAAAATTAAAATACCCAAAAGGAACAAATGATATCGTTTTTATTGTTCTATTCGGACAAGTGGGAGGGGCTAAAAGGAAGAACATCTCCCGCACGTGTCTCCCGAGGCCGCTGTGAGCTGCGCTGTGCACGAGCCAAATCGTGGTATTTGTACATCTTCTCGCCTGTGCGCCGAGAGACGGATCCCGGGGATCACTCCGAGGAAGGGAAGCCGGATGATTGAACGCGACGCCGGAGCCAATCCGTAGGCTGCGTCCGGTTCGCCCCGGGGCCGCAATCAAGACCGCGGTGTTTACGCCCCCTTCCTGCCCCGCCCATTTTTCAGCGTTCGGCGCTGCGGTACTTTGACTGACGTTTATTGCGTCACGCAACGCTAGACTGACACGGATTTTATACCATTTTTGGGGGGCAGATAGAGCTTTCTTTTGGGGGTATTTAATCAGCACTGCGGGGGAGGGGCGGGTTTTTTTTTTACTATATTTCAGAAAAATTACTGAAAATTCTGGAAATTTTTTTTTTTTCCCCCATTATGTTAGGAAACATTTTTTATTACCCAATTTTTTGGTAAAATATAAAAAGCGGGGTCGCGTCGGGTAAATAGACACCAAACATGTCAAGCGTAAAAATTGCGTGCGTCCGCGAAATCGCAAAGAAACTACAATACCCAAAATTGGCCGCAGGCGACGCTTTGAAAGCTTTTTACCGCTCATCAGTTTCGTGTTATCGGCGATTGACGGGCCGAGAATTATCGCTCGCGCTGCGACGTCCGCGGCGATATGTAACATGTGCGGCGTAACGGGCGCAGTCGTCGTTATCGCAGGTATGCGCACCCGACGCATGTTTGCATGCGTGTATGTATGGGTGGGGGGGG